TAGCTCACTGCAGCCTCAGCCTCGCAGGCTCAAGCCATCCTCTCAGCCCAGCCTCCTGAATAGCTGGGCTACAGGTGTATGCCACCACATCCAGCTAATTAAAAAAAAAATTAAGAAGGGGTCACAGTGTGTTGCCCAGGCCGGTCTTAAACTCCTGGGCTCAAGTGATTCTCCAGCGCCCAACTTAAACATAAGATTTAAATAAGATCCAGTCTCATGGTGTCATACTCAATATATCCAAGATACAATTTTTAAAAAATCACTTGTCATACCAGAAAAATCAACTTGAACGGGAAAAACCAATGAACAGACACCAACACTGAGATGACACTGATCTTGGAATTATCTGACAAGGAATTTGAAGCAGTAATGAACATGCTTGAAACAAATGAAAAAAACAGTTTCTCAGCAAAGAAACAGGAGATATAAAGAATAACCAAGGTGTGGTAGTGCATGCCTTTCGTCCCAGCTGCTCAGGAGGCTGAGGTGGCAGGGTCACTTGAGCTCAGGAGTTCAACTTTGCAGTGAACCATGACAGTAACATCGTACTCCAGCCTGGGTGACAGAGCAAGACAAGACCCCATCTCTTAAAAAGAAAGTAAACAGGCCGGGTGCGGTGGCTCACACCTGTAAACCCAGCACTTTGGGAGGCCAAGGTGGGTGGATCACGAGGTCAGGAGTTCAAGACCAGCCTGGCCAAGATAGTGAAACCCCGTTATCTACTAAAAATGCAAAAATTAGCCAGGCATGTTGACAGGTGCCTGTAATCCCAGCTACTTGGGAGGCTGAGACAGAGAACTGCTTGAACTCAGCAGGCGGAGGTTGCAGTGGGCCAAGATGGCACCATTGCACTGGGCGATAGAGTGAGACTCCATCTCAAAAACAAACAAACAAACAAACAAACAAAAAACCAAATGGAAATCTTAGAACTGAAAAATACAATAACTGCAATAAAAAACTCGATGGATTCAATAGCAGAATGGAATGTACAGAGGAAAGAATCTGTAAACCTGAAGATAAAACAATAGAAATTACCCAATCTGGGCCGGGCACAGTGGCTTACGCCTATAATCCCAGCACTTTGGGAGGCCAAGGCAAGAGGATCACAAGGTCAGGAGATCGAGACCATCCTGGCTAACACGGTGAAACCCCATCTCTACTGAAAATACAAAAAAATTAGCCGGGCATGGTGGCGGGTGCCTGTAGTCCCAGCTACTCTGGAGGCTGAGGCAGGAGAATGGCGTGAACCTGGGAGGCAGAGCTTGCAGTGAGCCGAGATCGTGCCACTGTACTCCAGCCTGGGCGACAGATGAAGGCTCCGTCTCAAGACAAAAAGAAAAAAAGAAATTACCCAATCTGAACAACACAGTGGAAAAAAGACACAAACATCAAAATCAGAACTTCAGGATCCTGTGGGACTAAAACAAAAGAACTAATATTCATGTCATTGGAGTTTCAGGAGGAGAGGAGACAAAAGGTAGTGCTGAAAAGTATTCCAATAAATAATGACTAAAATTTTCTCAAAATTGGCAAAATACATAAGCCTATAGATTCAAAGAGCTGAGAGAACCCCAAATAGGAGAAACACAAAGAAATCCACACCAAGACATGTCATAGTCAAACTTCTGTAAATTAATGGCAAAGAAAGAAAATCTTGAAAGCTGCAAGAGATAAATGCCATCTTACCTATAGGGAAAAAAAGCAATTTGAATGACAGCAGATTTCCCATCAGAAGAAAGTGGTATAACATTTTTCAAGTGTTAAAAAAAAAAAAAAATCCGGCCAGGTGCAGTGGCTCACACCTGTAACCCCAGCACTTTGGGAGGCTGAGGTGCATGAATCACCTGAGGTCAGGAGTTTAAGACTAGCCTGGCTAACATGGTGAAATCCCATCTCTACTAAAAATACAAAAATTAGCCAGGCATGGTAGTGTGTGCCTATAATCCCAGCTACTCAGGAGGCTGAGGCAGGAGAATCACTTGAACCAGGGAGGCAGAGGTTGCAGTGGGCCAAGATCACGCCACTGCACTCCAGCCTGGATGACAGAGCCAGGCTCTGTCTCAAAAGAAAAAAAAAAACAAAAAAACCCATTCTATACCAATTCTATATCTAGTGAAACTATACTTCCAGAATGAAGGAAAAATAAAAACACCCTGAGACAAAGAACAACTAAAAGAATTTGTTTTCAGCAGATTTATCCTACAAGAAAGGCTAAAGGAAGTTCTTGAAACGGAAGGGAAATGACAAAAGAAGAAGTCTTGCAACATTAGAAAGGAAGAAAGGATAATGAAATAAGTAGAACCATGGGTAAACGTATATACTTTCCTTCAACCCTTGAGTTTTCTAGGTTTATGTTTGACAGTTGAAGCAAAAAGTATAACATCATCTCATGTGGTTATCAATCTATGTAGAGGAAATATTTAGGAAAACTAAAGGGGTTTGAAGGGAGGTAAAGTTTCTATATTTCACTCAAACTGGTAAAATATTGATACCAATAGATTGTGAAAAGTTATGTATGCGTAATACAATACCCAGAGTGCCACTAAAAATCCATACCAAGAGATGTAAATTCAAAAATACTATAGATAAATCAAAATGGAATTCTAAAAATTGGTCAAGTAACCCACAAGAAAGCAGGAATAAAAACCATGAGAAACAAAAAAACAGAAGGAACAGAGAGAAAACAAAAATTAAAATGTAGACTTAAGCTCTAATATATCAACATTTACTCTAAATATAATGGTCTAAATATGTCAATTAAAAGGCAGAGTAAATAAAGAAACATGACCAAACTACATGCAAGGGCATTACGCTGGAGTGGGGGAGAAGGCCAGTCTCAAAAGGTCACATGCTGGATGTTTGCATTTATATAACCATGCCAGTTTCCTATGAAGCACCATAAACTGGGGGGGCTTAGAATGACAGAAATTTATTGTCTCCCTGTTCTGAGGGCTAGAAGTCAGAAATTAAGCTGTTGGCAGGGCCACGTTTCCTTGGAAGGTGCTCGAGAAGGTCCTTCCTTGCCTCTTCCAGCTTCTGGTGGCCCCAGATGTCCCCTGGCATGTGGCAGCATCCACTTTCCACGTGGCGTTCTCCGTGTGTCATTTTGCATAGTCTTCCCTCTATGTGTGTCTGTCTCTGGGTCCAATTTCCCCCTTTTCATAAGGATACCCTAATGACCTCATTTCAACTTGATTACCTCTGCAAAGACCCTCTTTCCAAATAAGACCACATTCTGAGATACCGGGCGTTAGGAGTTCAACATACAATTTTTTTGGGGGGACACAATTCAATCCTTAACAATAACATTTTCAAATTGACAAAAGTATAGAGATAGAGAGCAAATTAGTGGTTAGGGATGGTGGGTATTAGGGGGTTGTTGTGACTATAAAAGGGTAGCGTGAAGGAGATCTTTGTGACAATAGATTATTTCTACATCTCAAGTGCTGTGACAGTTACATACATGTACAATAAAATGGCACAGACCTATATACACATTAGACCAATGTCAATGTGCTGATTTTGATATTGTGCTATAGTTATGAAACACTTAATTACTGAGGAAATTGGGTAAAGGATACATGGGACCTCTCTGTACTGTCTTTGCAACTTTCTGTGAATCTATATTTTAAAGTAAAAGTATGACATATGTATATGGACATACTCACACTAAGACACACAATTAAGCAGTTTCAGAAGACAAAAAGGGCTGGCACTGTGGCTTACACCTGTAATCCTAGCCCTTTGGGAGGCTAAGGCAGGAGGATCACTTGATCCCAGGAGTTCAGGACCAGCCTGGGCAACATGGTAAAACCCTGTCTCTACAAAAAATACAAAAATTAGCTAGGTGTGGTGGTGTGTACCTGCAGTCTCAGCTACTAGGGAGGCTGAGGCAGGAGGCTCACCTGAGCTCAGGAGGTTGAGGCTGCAGTAAGCTATGATTGCACCACTGCACCCCAGACAGGGCAGTGGAGTGAGACCCTGTCTCAAAAAAAAATTTTTTTTTAAAGGAGACAAGGCTGGGCGCAGTGGCTGACGCCTGTAATCCCAACACTTTGGGAAGCCAAGGTGGGTGGATCACCTGAGGTCGGGAGTTTGAGACCAGATTGACCAATATGGAGAAACCCTGTCTCTACTAAAAATACAAAATTAGCCGGGTGTGGTGGCGCATGCCTGTAATCCCAGCTACTCCGGAGGTTGAGGCAGAAGAATTGCTTGAACCCGGGAGGCGGAGGTTGCAGTGAGCCGAGATTGCGCCCTTGCACTCCAGCCTGGGCAACAAGAGCGAAATTCTGCCTCAAATAAATAAAAAAAATAAAAAAGGAGACAAAAACGATTTTATAAGCGCTTGGAGAAACAAAAAACAGGTCGCATACAAAGGTTCAACTTGTATGAAAATAAAAGATGATAGAACAATGCCTTCAAAACTCTGAAGGCAAATGATTTTTAGCCTAGAATTCTATACACAACCAAACTACCAGTCATGTGTAAGGATAAAAAAAGGTAGAAAAAATATATCTGCAGACATGTGAGATCTCAAAAATAAATCTCCCATTGACCTTTTCTTGAGAAGCTACTAGAGGATGCACTCCAGCAAAACCAGACAGCAAATAAAGGGAGAGAATTCAGGAGACAGGGATCCAACCGGGAGAGGGAACAAAGAACTCACAGAATAAACAGCAGTACTGAACCTGGTTGGTTAACAATGAGCGAGCATCCTGCTGGTAACTGCCACGGGGCAGCCTGGGGGCTCCTGAAGGGAGGCTCATGACCTGCATTTCAAGAACACCTGCGGCGTAGTAGGAGACCTCAGGATTGGTCACACCTAATCCCAGGAACCCCATCTCTTTTGTATATCACTGTGGGATCCTAAATGGTAGAATGCAGGTGATAACCACATTTCTCATTTGGTGCCATCGGGAGGACTAGTGATGGCATATGACAGGCAGGTGGGTAGAAGGGGAGGAGCTCTAAACTCCATGTGTCCGGCTCATTCTTACCTCTAGTTCCTGAATGGGCACAGGCTGTGACGGAAGGCAGGAAGCACACTTGATCTTTATGGTCAGGGGATTTAAATCCTGCTTTTGCTCCTCGGTCATGATTGGAACTTCTGTTTTTAAAGTCAAAAGGCAATCTAAAATGTTGGCAGACTTCTCACTGCCACGACTCATGACAGTTTGCCATCCTGGGGGGAAATACACCCAGCATTAGACCTTTCCTCATGACAGCCCCAAGACAAGCACAGAAGGATCAAGCAACCTGAGATGAGCCAATGATAAAATCACAACCCAAAAGGGAAAACTTTAATTAAAAAAAGAAAGAAAGAATCAGGAAACACCCATGGGCAACATGTTCTGTGCTAGTTTCTCAAACTGAGAAAATTCTCTAGAATTGAATGTGTGTGACTTAATCTTGATGACATCTGTTAATAAGTAATACAAGCATTTCCTGAATCATCTGGGATACAACAGGAACCCCTATGTGTGGGTGCCACTCCCAGACAGTCTGATTTCATTGGTCTGGGGTGTGGCCTCCACAATTGGAGGTTTAATAGCTCTCCAGGTAACTTGAGAACCAACGTTCTAAACCTGTTCTGCTATCCACTATGGTAGCTATGGGCCATAGGTAGCTACTTGAATTGTAACTAATTAAAATTAAATAAAATATAAAATGCACTTCCTTCTCCACACAAGCCACATTCCAAATGCCCAGTACCCTCATGTGGCTATGGGCTCCTGTATGGGTCAGCAGAGAGCCTGGCCATTGTTGCAGGAAGGCTATTGGATGGAGTGCTCCGGGCAGTTCTCCCGTCAAGGACATATCATGCCAGTGTGTACATTTGGTACTCAGTGGGTTGCTTCACCTGTTGTGATCTGGTGAGGAAAATACAGATAATGATGTAGAACACAACTGGCACATCTGAGCCAAATACAAGCGTGCACACCTCCCACCAGGATGGTTTTGCACTAGTGCGCCTCATGAAAAGGGTGGGTGAATGGAGCCATTGCAAGGCATATAGGTAGCTGTCAGAATACTTTTTCTTTTTTTTTCTGAGAAGAAGTCTCACTCTGTCGCCCAGGCTGAACACACCTGGCCCATGACTTGTTTTAGAAGCGCCTACTCTTTCTGAATGTGAGTGACTTGGCTTTTACATGCCCTAGAAATGCATTTACAGGCATGTTGAAAGGAATAGACTGATCTTTTTGAGCACTATCTCATACATCATCTTTCTTAATCTTTTAACCCCAAGGAAGGAGGTATCTATCCCCATTTTGCAGATGAAATTGAGCCTCGGAGACTCTAACTTATCACATGACAAAGAGTCAGATCTGGGATTCAAACCCAGGTCAATCCTGCCTCCAAAACTTGAGGGTTTTTTTTTTTTTTTCCCTACCTAGTACATCTCTGACTGGTGAAATACATGGATCCCTTTTAAAGAAAAAGCATCCTGGGCCAGGCGTGGTGGCTCACGCCTATAATCCCAGCACTTTGGGAAGCCGAGGGGGGCAGATCACCTGAGGTCAGGAGTTCGAGACCAGCCTGACCAAAATGGAGAAACCTTGTCTCTACTAAAAATACAAAATCAGCCGGACATGGTAGCGCATGCCTGTAATCCCAGCTACTTGGGAGGCTGAGGCAGGAGAATCACTTGAATCCGGCAGACGGAGGTTGCAGTGAGCTGAGATCACACCTTTGCACTCCAGCCTGGGCAACAAGAGTGAAACTCCACCTCAAAAAAAAAAAAAAAAAAAAAAAAAAAAAAAAAAGACTACTCAAGGTAGAAGGAATCCCCAGTGCAAAAATAAAAATTTTAAAAAGTGCTCAAATCATCAGAGTCAGGGAGACATGTACCAGAACAGAATTCCAGGCCGGGGGCTCACAGCCTCCATAGTGCCGACAGTTGGGGCAGGCCATTCTTTGCTCAGGGGACAGTCCTATGCATTGTGGCATGTTTAACAGTATCTTACTAGATGCCAGTGGCACCCCACTCTCAGTCGTGACAACCAAAATGCCTCCACACACTGCCAAATGTCCCCAGCAGACACAAGTCCCCTGAGTTAAGAGCCCTGGTCGAGTAAGAGTGGAACAGTGCAAGGGAATGTTTGTGCTCCTGCTATAGCCTGTCCCAACATGCGCTAATGTCATTTCATCCTTAACCTTGTCTGGTTGCTGTCATCGCCACATTACTGATGGGGAAACTGAGGCCCAGAGTTCTGACGCAATCATCCAAGGTCTCTTAGCCAATACGTTGTGGAACCAGCATCCAAACCAGTTCTGTGGGGCTAAGTGGGGCCCCTCCGCTATGCAATACTATCCTTTTAAAATAAGAGTTCACTGCCAGACACAGAATCTTTCTAGAATCTTACTAGGTTACTAGCCAACCAATATTTACTAATAAGGTATACATGATCTATGGCCTAATTTGAAATTGAAGATGATTACCAAAAATAATTATGCTGAGTTTACAATAAATAATCTTATGCTATTATTTTCTGGCAAAACCAGACATACAACTGGCCTGCTGAGCCGACCTGTGCTCTGTTGACGACCATAGGCTGTGTCAGGGTATAATGGAGTGGCCCACACACATGGCCTCGGGAGGCAGCTGCTGCCTCCACACCAGCACCCTCTGGGTCCCACTGTGCTAAGCAGTTTACACACATCAGCTCCTGTGATCCTTAAAACAATGCTCTGAGGTAGGAGTGATCACCCCCATTTCATAGAGGAGGAAAGTGAGACTCAGAGAAAGCAGGTAACTTGCTGGTAAGTGACTGAGCCATGATCAAAGCGTTTTTGTCACCAAAGTTCTTACATATGAACCCCTGCATTGTACAGCCATGACGGTACAGGTTAAAGAGAGGGGAGGCTAGGTCAGGCGCGGTAGCTCACGTCTGTAATCCCTGCACTTTGGGAGGCTGAGGCGGGCGGATCACGAGGTCAGGAGTTCAAGACCAGCCTGGCTAACATGGTGAAACCCCATCTCTACTAAAAATACAAAAATTAGCCTGGCGTGGTGGCACGCACCTGTAATCCCAGCTACTCTGGAGGTTGAGGCAAGAGAATTGCTTAAACCCGGGGGGCAGAGGTTGTAGTGAGCCAAGATCACACCACTGTACTCCAGCCTGGGCAACAGAGCAAGACTCCACCTCAAAAAAAAAAAAAAAAAAAAGAGATGGGACCATGTCCTGGCTTCATTCTGCTGGAAACAGTCACGCCAGGCAGGCCAAGACAGTTGAACTTCTCTTTCCTCTCACAGTAAAATCCAAAGTGGGGCAGGTCCCATGGTACACTCCCCTAGGAGGATCATGGGTTCGTCCTTGGGACTCTAGGACAGAGGAAGCAGCTAGCAAAGGCGTTTGCTCAAAGTCACTGTGTGCTACAGGTATGCTGGAGTGTCAGGCTGGAGAATGGGGCGGGGGAAGACGCTCTTTAAGTTTACTCTCTGGCACTGTCACTTCTCAAGAAGGTTCTGATGCTACGAGAAAGTGAAGGTGGTCAGGAAGGACCAGCTGTAGGTGAAGTATGATTTTCAAAAAGTCATTTAAAACTGCAAACTGCCACGTGCGGCAGCTCACACCTGTAATTCTAGAACGTTGAGAGCCAGAGGCAGAAGGATTACTTGTGTCCAGGAGTTTGAGACCAGCCTGGACAACATAGCAAGACCTTGTCTCTACAGAAAATACAAAATAATAATAATAATAATAATAGCCAGGTGTGGTAGTGTGCACCTGTAGTCTCAGCTATGCGGGCGGCAGAGGCAGGGCTTGCTTCAGGCTAGAGTGAGCTATGATTGTGTCACTTACACTGCAGTCTGGGTGAGAGAGCAAGACCCTATCTAAAAAAAAAAAAAAAAGTGCAAACTGAAAAGTTAATAGGACTTTCTCACAATGAATCGACACCAACCCAAAAGCGCATGAGAAGGATGATGACTGGCACCTGTGGAAGTGAACTGGCAGCTCTGACTTATGGGGGTTTCGCCCCCTCCTCTATGAACACTGGTCCCAGTTCAGAAAAGACCAATGCACGCGCTTCTGCAGAGTAGCCAGGAGAGGGCGCACAAGACACGTGATGGCCAAAAAAATGAACAAAGTCTGAATTTTCTCTAAAAAGAAAAAAAAGTGGGGGAGCTCACCCCGTATTACTCTTTTTTGGAACAAAGCAATATAATTTTACCAAAATATATGCTGAGATTTCCATCATCAAAACATATTGATATAATATTTAGTTAAGATTTTCCAATATGTATAAAATCTAGTTCATAAATTGTGGTAGATCTTATAAAGCAAAAGAATTAAATCCCTGCTGGCCACTGAGTTATGCGGCCTTAGGAAAGTTACTTAACCTCTTTGAGTTCTTTTCCTCACTGAAAACAATGGTAACAATGGTAAGCACCACAGCCACCACACCACAGGTTGGCTGAGTGGCTCAGAATTTGGTCTGAGAAGTGATGTGTCATACGGGAGGTGCCTGCACCCAGAGGGGCTCAGTCAAAAAGGGTTCCCTTTCCTCATTCCCTTTACTAGATGTTTTTGTAAAAATCTATAGGAAAGCATTTATTAAAAGCAGCATCTTCTTTGCAAACACAATGATGACATTTAATATTCCCATAGGCTTCCTTGGAGTTTGGAATCAAATAGAGCTGGGTTCAGGTCCAGACTTCACATTTCCTAGCTGTGTGATCTCAGGCAATGTAGCTACCCTCTCTGGGTCTTAGTTTCCCCCTGTACTATGGAGCCAATTCCCCTGAGTTTCCTGAGGTGGCTGTGAGGATGAAATGAGGTGGCACACAGCAGGGTTGTCATTAGGAGCATCCGCTTATGGCCATTCTGGCAAGCTGGAGCTGCTGGGAACAGGGCAAGGAGTGGGTACCGGCAAGGAGCGGCATGACGGCCAGTTGGATGGAGAAAGCGCTCTGCTTCCTTAGGCCTGTCAGCGTGGGGTCTGCCTCTTCTTCTGCAGGGGGCTTCTTATGTCTCCTCTGGATTTTCTTTCTTCCCTCTGAATCTTTTCCTTTAACTGTGAAATCAAATAAAGGAGATAAGCATTAAGAGGAGACTGTATCTGAGCTGCCACATGTGGACCTGAACATGCTACAGAGATTTGGGAAGGTTCCGGAAGCTCCTAGAAGGCAGGGGTTGTTCTTTGTGTGACTGCCTCTTCCCAGCAACCAGAAGTGGTGGCTAAATATAGATGGCAGGCCCGTTGCCAGTTATATGTAGTAATAAGGTAAGGGTCTCTTATTCCCCGCCTCTGCTAACTGAGAACACAGGTAGAAGAGGACTAAAGTCACCATGACAATGATGCCATAACACACTCAAGGCTTCCTCCAGTCAGCTCTTAATCTCAGCACAGGGCGGAGGGTGGGCTTTTTTAAGAGACCCTGCTCTTAAACAAAAGCCCACAGTCTGAGCCTCAGTAACCTCACCTGTTACATGAGGGCAACAGCACCTGCCTTCTAGGGCACTGAAAAGAGGAAATTAGCAACGCTACATAAAACATTCAGCTCAATGCCAAGCTCAGACCAGAAGGAAAAGGAGATGAGAACACATATAAATCTATGGTCATCAAGACTAATGGGACAGATGAGAAAGCCCAGGAACAGACCCAAACACATAGGGGAACCCAACAGATGCCAGAAGTGGCGTTTCAAATCAGTGGGTAAGTTATATTGACTATCCATATGGGAGCAAATTAAGTTACTGAATTATTTCATGGCATATACAAAATGAATTACAGACTAAGAGTATAAAACAAAAACTTCAAAATCATCAGAAGAGTATCTAGGAGACTATACTGACATCTGCATGAAGAAGGATTTCTTTCTTTCTTTCTTTTCTTTTCTTTTTTCTTTTTTTTTTTTTGAAACAGAGTTTCACTCTGTTGCCCAGGCTGGAGTGCAATGTCGCAATCGAGGCTCATTGCAACCTCTGCCTCCCGGGTTCAAGTGATTCTTCTGCCTCAGGCTCCTGAGTAGCTAGGACCACAGGCACATGCTACCATGGCCAGCTAATTTTTGTATTTTTAGTAGAGATAGGGTTTCAACCATGTTGGCCAGGCTAGTCTCGAACTCCTGACCTCAGGTGATCCATCTGCCTTGGCCTCCCAAAGTGCTGGGATTACAGGCTTGAGCCAATGCACCCAGCCTCTTTTTTCTTTTTTTTAAGAGATGATGTTTTGCCCGGGTGCGGTGGCTCACTCCTGTAAATCCGGCACTTTGGGAGGCTGAGGCAAGTGGATCACTTGAGGTCAGGATTTTGAGACCAGCCTGGCCAACATGGTGAATCCGGCACTTTGGGAGGCTGAAGCAAGTGGATCACCTGAGATCAGGATTTTGAGACCAGCCTGGCCAACGTGGTGAAACCCCATCTTTACTAAAAATAAAAAATTAGCCAGGTATGGTGGCAGGCACCTGTAATCCTAGCTACTTGGGAGGCTGAGTCAGGAGAATCACTTGAACCTGGGAGGCAGAGGTAGCAGTGAGCCCAGATCGTGCCACTGTACTCAAGCCTGGGCTACAAGAGAGAAACTCAGTCTTTGGGGGAAAAAAAAGAGAGAGATGGTGTTTCACTATGTTGCCAAAGCTGGCCATGAACTCTGGGCTCAAGTGATGATCCCCTCAGCCTTGCAAGTAGCTTGGACTACAGGCATGCACCACCATACCCAGCTGAGGAAGGATTTCTTAAACATTCCTGAAAGTATAAACTAGAGAAGAATAGTTAAATAATTGGTGTACAAAACAAGATACCATAAATCTAGTCAAAGGATAAGTTACATACCCCTGTCTGTGAGGGTTATCATGCATATAACTGGCAATGCACAATCATCCAGATGTAAACACAAAGCTGGCAGATCAATAAGACAATTTTTTTGAACTAACAAAAAAATAAGCAAAGATATGAATAGGAAAATCGTAGAAGAGTGTGACCTATTTTGTCACATGCAGTGCTGCTCAGCCTCACCAGGAGTCAGGAACTAAACCATGTCTGTGCAGAGCAGCAGAGAACAGCAGTCCTTAGGACTGCGAGCAGAGGGGTAAAGAGATGCTGCCTGAGGTCGGGCCCAGTGGCTCACGCCTGTAATCCCAGCACTTTGGGAGGCTGAGGCAGGTGGATCACTTGAGGTCAGGAGTTTAAGACCAGCCTGGCCAACATGGAGAAACCCCATCTCTACTAAAAATACAAAATTAGCCAGGCGTGGTGGCACATGCCTATAATCCCAGCTACTCGGGAGGCCGAGGTAGGAGAATTGCTTGAACCTGGGAGGTGGAGGTTGTGGTGAGCCGAGATCACGCCATTGCACTCCAGCCTGGGCAACAAGAGCAAAACTCTGTCTCAAAAAAAAAAAAAAAAAAAAAAGAGAGAGATGCTGCCTGGACAGTAAACTAACAGCATCTAGCAATGGGGTCGAGGCTCACAGACTGTGCCCCAGGGGTCCCACTGGGCCAATGCCTTGGACTCACATGTGTGCCCAGACACTCACCATGGCAGTGCTGGAGCAAGAAATTGGAGACAACTCAGATCCCGGGCAGGGGGACTGTATGCATGCAGGACGGTCCACCCATAACACATGGCAAAATGCTAACACCTAAATTGTGAATATGTAGTTGTTGCATTTTTGTGTGAACTTTCCTATCTTTATTTCAAAATAAAAGAACGGTTTAAAAACCTCATTGAATGCTTAAAGCACATTCTTTAAAAAAGTGACATTTTTAATCTGGAAAAGAAAAAAGTCAGAAGTTGAGAGGCGTTCACATGTGAAAGTGTGACTCAGTCTTTGTGGACCGTAAGAATAGGAATGAGTTTTCTTCAACTGTATCTCCAGTACCCAGCAGAGAGCCTGGCTCAAGCAGTCACTTCCCTCTGCAGCCTTTGACTGTTGCACTAGAACCAGGCCAGTGTCAGCAAACAACAGATTAACTGATTGAGAGATGAGGAAATGATCTGTAGCAATTACAGCTAAAAGGACGTGAAATGGCCCATCCCAGGAGGCAGCAGTATACCCACTGGCTCTAGATTTTCCCACCTCACACTGGAAACACAACTTCTTAATGAGAAACTGGTAAGGGGATGTAGGCTGAGAATGAGGAAGTCGATTTAGTGGCTTCTGAGGGTTCAGATCTCTTGACAGTATGTGAATAAGATTACACACTTCTTCATGAGCGGGTCCCATGACACGGAATACTGTGTTCTTCATTCCACCATAAGAGTAAATACTGGGCCGGGCGCAGTGGCTCATGCTTGTAATCCCAGCACTTTGGGAAGCTGAGGCAGACGGATCATTTGAGATCAGGAATTTGAGACCAGCCTGACCAACATGGTGAAACCCCGTCTCTACTAAAAATACAAAAATTAGCTGGGTATGGTGGTGGATGCCTGTAATCCCAGCTACTCAGGAGGCTGAGGCAGGAGAATTGCTTGAACCCAGGAGGCAGAGGTTGCAGTGAGCCAAGATTGCACCATTGCACTCCAGCCTAGGCAATAGAGCCAGGCTCCTTCTCAAAAAAAAGAAAAGAAGGCCGGGCGCGGTGGCTCACACCTGTAATCCCAGCACTTTGGGAGGCTGAAGCGGGCAGATCACAATTTTGGGAGATCAATGCCATCCTGGCTAACATGGTGAAACCCCGTCTCTACTAAAAATACAAAAAAAAAATTAGCCGAGGGCGGTGGCAGCGCCTGTAGTCCCAGCTACTCGGGAGGCTGAGGCAGGAGAATGACGTGAACCCAGGAGGTGGAGCTTGTAGTAAGCCAATACTGGGCGACAGAGTGAGACTCTATCTCAAAAAAAAAAAAAAAAAAAAAAGAAAAAGAAAAAGAGTAAATACTTTATCTTTCAAGGAGAGTTTTTACATAAACATGATTCTTTTATGCTTCCCCAACATACCGCATACCTACCCCTACCACAACGTCTATCACATAGAATTGTAATTCTTTATTTGAAAGTCTCCATTAGATATTAGAGATTTTCATGTCCCCCATATGCACAACACCGTGGGTCAAAACTATTGTTGGAATGGAATGGATGATGAGGGTGAGTAAATGACATGAGAAGAAATGGAACAAATGGATGGATGGATGGAGATGGATGGATAGAGATGGATGGATGGATGGATGGATGGAGATGGATGGATGAATTAATAAATGGAATGGGTGGGTGGACTGATGAATGGATGGGGATGGATGGATGGGGATGGATAAATGAATGGATGGATGAATAGAGATGGATGGATAGATAGATGGGGATGGACAGATGGATGAATGGATGGATGGGGATGGATGGATGGATGGATGGATGGATGGTAAGGATGGGATGCATAAGTTGAAAATGTATACAGTACTCTTTACTTTTGAGAAACATTTGGTCAAATATGCAAGAATCTCATTGGAATATCCTGAATTTAAAATATTTCATAATTCTTCCAAGTCTAGTTATACTATAAAATTCCCAAATCCTATCCTAACTTACTTTGAGACCTTTGTCTGTCTAATATGTTTGTTAAGCTGCTAAGTGATTCACTCTCAATTAATTCCTTGATCTCCATCATGCTTGCTCCTGCCAAAGAAATGGTTGGTGTTCTTGAAACACTCCATCTAGAAAAGTCACAAAGAGAAAAATGAATGAAGGTGAAAAAAATCAGGGGCCAGATCTGATAATATATTTACTGATGGACCAAAGGAGAGCAGATTTTTAAAAAACCTTATAGTGCATTCCTCTAACCCAGTGCTTCTCAGTTTTCAATGTGCCTGTGAGTTACCTAGGGATTTTATCAAATAAAATGAAGACTCTGGTTCAGTAAACCAGGGGCAGGCCTGAAATTCTCCATTTCTACCAAATTCCCAGTAATGCTGACACACTTGGTCTGCATTCAAGGTACTAACCAACTCAAAAATATAATGGAAAATAATATATTTTTATAAAAATAACCCAAACTATAAAACATCTAAGAATTCACTTAAAGGAATTATCCACAACATTTATAGGCAGAACAAATGAACTCCATTAAAGGACATAAGGGAGGGTATGAATTGAATGAAAGGATATACCATGATCATGGATGAGATACCTTAACAATGTAAAAATGTCAGTTCTTCCCCAAATAATCTATATATTCCATACAAAAACAATTTTTAAAAAAATCAAAATTGTTTAAAGACATGTTCTCTTGGTTCTTCTCATTCCATTTCCCAAAACCACCAGCTGGGCTTCCATTCTCTCCCTGGTCCCCATAGCATCCAAGGAGTCTCCTTCTCCAGACCCTTAGGCTACCAGAGGCCCTAAAAGCAACTGAGCTCATGCAGGATGACTGGAGACTCAGGAGTCTGAAGCTGTGGGTTGGAATCCCAGCTTAACCAGGAATTCTGGTTTATCACTTTGTGTAAATCATTTAATTACTCAGTCACTTTGTGTAGTTATTATGAGGATCAAATGAGATAAAATAATGCATGCAGAAAGTTTGATGTGCAACATATACTCATAAACACAAGCTGCCCTTTCCCTGTTCGCTTAATTTAGCCTGGATTGCATGAGCTCCAATTTAACTGGATTTACTAAAAAACCTACCATGACTCACAGTAGGGCTAGTACAAGAGGAGCTCCACTCCCACCACCCAAAATGTCGTTCAATCCTTACTGAACCGTGGAAGAATCGTCCATTTTGGGGGACTTCTCATATTCCTCACTGTTCTTGGAAGAATTTTCGGGCTCTGCTTGGTGAGAACCTGAAAACAGTAGCAAATATTTCTAAGCTTTTTGTTACATGCTAGTTCACTAAGAAATGAGGGCCCCAACCCATTTCTGTAATGTCAGTCTCTACGCAGAAGGCCTGGGATGTGGGAAGCACTCAGTCAAAAAGTTTGTTGTTAATAAGTGAGTAAACGAATAAACACAGACTAATATTTGATTATTTGGATAAATGGAGTCAAGAGGAGACCTCCAGTTCCTTACATAACAGCCCACAGAGAAAAAGAAGAAAGTCTATTATCTATTAAATGGTCCATTTCAGTCCTGTTTACATTAGAGAATAATGAAAACAGTCCCAAGTTCCCAACCATAGGGAATGGTTAGCAAATTACAGTCTGCCGAGAAGATGAAATACTACATAGTCACCACACTACAATGTTACATAGATTGCTCCTTGTGATGAAATTGTTTTCCCTGTTTGTTTTATATTTTTATCTATTCACTGAATTTTCTAAAAACCATATACACAACTTCCACAGTCAGAGAAGTTTTTGGGACCGGGTGCAGTTGCTCACACCTACAATCTCAGCATTTTGGGGGCTGAGGTAGGGGGATCACTTGAGGTCAGGAGTTCAAGACCAGCCTGGCCAACCTGGTGAGGCTGGTCTCTACTAAATGGTCTCTACTAAAAATACACAAATTAGCTGGGTGTGGTGGTGGGCGCCTGTAATCCCAGCTACTCGGGAGGCTGAGGCAGGAGAATCACTTGAACCCAGGAGGCAGAGGTTGCAATGAGCCAAGATTGTGCCATTGCACTCCAGCCTGAGGGACAAGAGCAGAACTCCGAATCAGCAAGGAAAAGTAAGCCATGCAGCAAGAGCAGTACAGCTGTGTGGCAGGATGAGCCCCACCCGCCTCCACTGCCAACACACGGGAGGGACGCCCATGCAGATGCACCACCCCAGCACACCACACGACCACTTTCCCTGCCATTGCCTTGCACTCAGCTTATCCACTAAGGCCTTCTCCGCTCACCTTGCAAAGACTTTGGGTGTTTTTCTACTTTTTCTTGTTTTCCTGGTGGATATTCCTGATTCGACTCTTCTTTGACAATGTTGGCATTCTCAATGCCCTGTTCAGAGAATTTTCTCTGATTTAAAACCAAATGTCTCACTTCTAGAATGCAGGAGAAGAAAGGATCATTGACTCAATCAATCCAAAATATGTATTGAATAACTACTATGGACATTTCTTGGAGACACTGGGGGTTTGGTTTCAGACCACACTAAAGTAAGTATCACAATAAAGTGAGTCACACATATAAAAAAAAAAAAAAAAAAAAAAAAAAAAAAAAAAAAATACACATTATCTTCCCAGTGCATATAAATTATGTTTATACCATACCATAGTCTATTCAGTGTGCAACAGCATTACATCTAAAAAAAAAAAAAAAAAAAAAGTACATACCTTAGTTTAAAAAATACCTTATTGAGCCAGGTACAGTGGCTCATGCCTGTAATCTCAGCACTTTGAGAGGATGAATTGGGAGAACTGCTTGAGCCCCAGAGTTTGAAGCTGCAGGGAGCTGTGACTGCACCACTGCAGTTCAGCCTGGGTAACACAGAGAGATTCTGTCTCTTAAGGAAAAAAAGAGAAAAGGAAAGAAAGTAAGGGAGGAAGAAAGGGAGGGAGGGAAGGGAGAAAGAAGGAAAAAGAGAGAGAAAAAATACTTTATTGCTAAAATATGCTACAGGCTGGGCACAATGGCTCATGCCTGTAATCCTAGCACTGTGAGAGACTGAGATAAGAGGATCACTTGAGGCCAGGAGTTCAAGACAAGCCAGGGCAACATGGTGAAACCTTGTTTCTACAAAAAAAGAAAAATAGCTGGGCATGGTGGCATGCACCTGTAATTCCAGCTATTCAGGAGGCTGAGGTGGGAGGGCTGCTTGATTCTAGGAGGTCAAGGATGCAGTGAGCCATGATCACACCACTACACTGCTGCCTGGGGGACAGAGCAAGACCCTATCTCACACACACACACACAAAAGCTAACACTCATCTGAGCCTGCGGATAATCATCTTTCTGCTGTGGGGGTCTTGCCTCGATGTTGACGGCTGCTCAGTGATCAGGGTGGTGGGTGCCGAGGGCTGGGTTCACCTCACCATGAAGTTGGCTGCATTGATCGACTCTTCCTTTCATGAAAGGTTTCTCTGTAGCATATGAAGCTGTTTCATAGCATTTTTCCCACAGTAGAACTGCTTTCAAAATTGGAGTCAATCCTCTCAAACCCTGCCACTTCTTTATCAACTAAATGTGTGTACTATTCTAAATTCTCTGTTGTCATTTCAACAATGTTCACAGCCTCTTCACGAGGAGTAGATTCCATCTCATCTCAAGAAATCACTTTCTTTACTCATCCGTAAGAAGCAACTCCTTATCTGTTCAAATTTGATCACAAGACAGCAGCAATTCAGTCACATCCTCAGGCTCCACTTCTAATTCTAGTTCTCTTGCTATTTCCACAACGTCTGCAGTGACTTGCTCCACTGAAGCCTTGAACCCTTCAGAGTCATCCATGAGGGCTGGAATCAACTTCTTCCAAACTCCTGTTAATGTTGATGTTTTTACCTCCTCCCATGAATCACAGATGTTTTAAAGACATCTAGAATGGTGAATCCTTTCCGGAAGGTTTTTCTTTTCTTTCCTTTTATTTTTATTTATTTATTTTTGAGATGGAGTCTCGCTCTGTTGCCCAGGCTGGAGCACAGTGGGGCAATCTCGGCTCACTGCAAGCTCCGCCTCCCGGGTTCACGCCATTCTCCTGCCTCAGCCTCCCAAGTAGCTGGGACTACACGTGCGCACCACCACGCCCAGCTATTTTTCTGTAGTTTTAGTAGAGACGGGGTTTCACCGTGTTAGTCAGGATGGTCTTGATCTCCTGACCTCGTGATCCACCCGCCTCGGCCTCCCAAAGTGCTGGGATTACAGGCATGAGCCACCGCACCTGGCCTTGTTTTTTTTTTTTGAGACGGAGTCTCGCTCTGTCACCCAGGCTGGAGTGCAATGGCACGATTTCGGCTCACTGCAACCTCCACCTCCCAGGTTCAAGCAATTCTCTTGCCTCAGCCTCCCAAGTAGCTGGGATTAGAGGCGCCCGCCACCATATCCAGCTATTTTTCATATTTTTAGTAGAGACAGGATTTTGCTCTGGATTAGGCTTCAGCTAATATTGTGGCTGGTTTGATCTTCCATCCAGACCATGAAAACTTCCTCTGTATCAGCTATAAGGCTGTTTCACTTTCTTATCATTTCTGTGTTCACTGAGTAGCACATTTAACTTTCTTCTAGAACTTCTCCCTCACATTCTCAACTTGGCTGTTTGGCACAAGAGGCCTAGCTTTCAGCCTGTCTAGGCCTTCGATGCGGCTGCCTCACTAAGCTTAATCATTTCTAGCTTTTGACTTAAAGGGAGAGATGTGCAAGGCTTCCTTTCACTTGAACACTTTAGAGGCCATTGTAGGGTTATTAATTGGCCTAATTGTGGTATTGTTGCCTCTCAGGGAACAGGGAAGCCTGAGGAGAGGGAGAGACAGGAGAATGGCTGGTCACCGGAACCCTGTGTTCTGGAGTCAGAACACACACAGCATTTATTAGTTAAGTTCATCGTTTCACACACATGCAGTTTGTGGCACCTCCAAACATTTACAAAAGTGACATCAAAGATCACCGATCACAGATCACCAAAGCAGGTATAAATAAGTGTGAAAAATCCAAGAATTGGGGCTGGGTGCGGTGGCTCTAGCCTGTAATCCCAGCACTATGGGAGGCGGAGGTGGGGCAGATAGCGAGGTCAGGATATCGAGATCATCCTGGCTAACGAGGTGAAACTCCATCTCTACTAAAAATACAAAAAAATTAGCCAGGTGCAGTGGCAGGCGCCTGTAGTCCCAGCTACTCGGGAGGCTGAGGCAGGAGAATGGTGTGAACCCGGGAAGCGGAGCTTGCAGTGAGCTGAGATTGTACCACTGCACTCCAGCCTGGGCGACAGAGCGAGACTCCGTCTTAAAAAAAAAAAAAGAAACATCCGAGAATTACCAAAATGTGACAGAGACACAAAGTGAGCACCCGAGGTTGAAAAAACGGCATCAATAAACTTGTTCGACACAGGATTGCCACAAACCTCCAAATTGGAAAATGCATGATCTCTGTGAAGCCCAGTAAGGCAAAGCACAATCAATCAAGGTATGCCTATAAGTGACAGTCACCTTCCTCTGAAGAAGATGAAGCAATGGATAAGGCCTCTGTTCTCCTGGAGCTGCTGCCTAGGAAGCTGCCTCCAAATTCCAGGAAACCCAAAACAATAAGCACACACGTCTGGGACAGGCACACATGTTGAGGTTCTCAGACCTCAGCAGGCCAGCAGCCTCCTCCAAATGTGAGCATTGAGCCTGTGACATGCGCTGCTACGCTGGCTCCTAGCATTCCACTTTAAGGAGGGCAGTAACATTCCCCATCTCACAGATGAAGATCTGACACTGAAGTAACTTTCCCGTGGTCAGAGAGGTGGTCCTTAACAAAGCCAGGACTGCACCCAGAGTGCCTTGTCCCCAGCCAGGGTGTCAGCTCCTCAATGCCCTTCATTTCTATCCCTAGAGGCCTCAGATACACATGGCAGCCACCAAGAATGGGGAGGATAATGAATAAATGGAGTAAGTGAATTGACAAATGGAGAGGAAAGATGCTACAAGAAAGAAATGGAAAAAAGGAGGTGAAATTGGATTCAGTGCTGAAAAATAGACAACACTTTTTGGAGAAACAGATGAGGCTGACAGCCATGGAAGAATGCCCAGCTGGTTTATCACGAGGCCTTACCATGAGAGAGAGCCTCATGTCTGCAGGGACCAGGAGGTGGGCTGTGGTGTGAAGGGGCAGTGGCAGTGAGAAGGAGTCTTGGAAACAGATTGTAAAGTGCCTTCAAGGCCAAACCACTTGGTTCTCTAAAGGCCCTGGGGCAGCCATGAACAGCTGCAAAGCAAGGCAGCACCAGGACCGAACGGGAGACAGAGAAAGGCCATGCCACAGCGGCAGGAGAGAGAAGGGGGAACAATCCTGGGTGCAGAGAAAGCCAGAGGGCAGGAGGGAGAAGACAGCTGGGCAGAGAGCTCCCAAGAACAACAGGTGGGGGATACCCACTGGGCACCGGGTGGAGGTGCCCAGAATTGAGAGCATAGGAGTAATTAAATGTGACTGGGGGGCTTTGAAAAGAATGCTGTCTTTGTCCAGTCCTGAGAAATCCAGCAGATGAACAGATTGAAGGGAAAAGAAATGCTGAGTGTGATGGTGAATACTGAGTGTGATGGTGAATACTGAGTGTCAACTTGATTGGATTGAAGGAATGCAAAGTATTGATCCTGCATGTATCTGTGAGGGTGTTGCCAAAGGAGATTAACATTTGAGTCAGTGGACTGGGAGAGGCAGACCCATCCTCAATCTGGGTGGGCACCATCTAATCAGCTGCCAGCGCAGCTAGAAGAAAGCAGGCAGAAGAACATGAAAGGAGCTGACTTCCTGAGTCTTCTGGCCTTCATCTTTCTCCTGTGCTGGAGGCTTCCTGCCCTCAAACATCAGCCTCCAAGTTCTTCAGCTTTTAGACTCTTGGACCTACACCACTGGTTTGCCAGGGGGATCTCAGGCCTTCGGTCACAGACTGAAGGCTGCACTGTCGGCCTCCCTACTTTTGAGGTTTTGGGACTCAGACTGGCTTCCTGGCTCCTCAGCTTGCAGACGGCCTATTGTGGCACTTCACCTTGTGATCATGTGAGTCAATACTCCTTAATAAACTCCCTTTCATACATACATCTATCCTATTAGTCCTTCCCTCTACAGAACCCTGACTAGTACACTAAGTCAGGTTGGGATATGTCCTTCAAGACCAGCAGGCTGAATACTAACAAGTTCTGGAATGTGACCTACCAGGCATCCAATAAACATCCTATCCCCTTCATAATATGAGACAGAACTCTTACAGTATTCCTGTGCTTCCAAGAAATAAGAGTTTTTGTAAGAAATCTTTTTAAGTGAGAAAAGGCAGGACTTAAGACAACATGTACACTAGATTCACAGGAAAAATGTTAACAATGGCTATCTCTGGACAGGAATCACGTGGTTTTAACTTTTTCTCTTTTTTGCTAGGCGATTTCTAAATTGTTTTACAAACTGAATTCGCATTGTTTTTTTAATGGGGAAAAACTTATTTAAATAAGAAGCAGTGATGCTAAGCTTGGGACAGGGTTCAGGAAGGAGCAGGTGCTGTCATTGCAATGTTTCACAGTGCTAGGCATAGTGGCTCACACTTGTGATCCCAGCACTTTAGGAGGCCAAGGCAGGAGGATTACTTAAGACCAGGAGTAAGAGACCAGCCTTGGTAACATAGTAAGACCCAATCTCTAAGAAAGATAAAATTTTAAAAGTAGCCAGGTGTGGTAGTACATACTCGTGGTCCCAGCTACTCAGAAGACTGAGGCAGGAGGAATCACTTGAGCCCAGGAGCTCAAAGCTGCAGTGAGCTATGATCACATCACTGCACTCCAACCTGGGCAACAGAGTGAGACCCCGTCTCAATCAATCAATAAGAATACTCATAGCAGGAGGCTTGTGGCCTCACCCTGGAGGCCATAGAACACCCTTTCTCCTTCCTTTTCTGGCCACCGAATTCCCTTTACCCATCCAAACTTTGCTACTACGGCCCTTCCTCCAGGAATCCTTCCTGATACTCCCACCTCAGCACCCTACTCCAATGAGAGCCCACCGCAGGGCAGATACTAACCAGGAAGTCTGGCTCAACAGCTCCAAATCAGGCCTGGAATCTGCATGTAAGCATCTGATGCAGGTGGTCCACAGCCCACACTTTGAGGACATGGTTCTTTCCTCTAGTCCAGGTAAGAAAAATTACCTTGAATCCCATTTTCTCACACTGGAAACCTACAACTTGTAGTGTAGGTATATGCATTAGTGTTTCTCAGCCAGGGGCAATTTTGATCCCCAGGGGACATCTGGCAATGTCTGAAGAAATCTGATTGTCACAGCTGGCAGGCTACTACTGGAAGCTAGTGGGTAGAGGCCAGAAATGCTGCAAAACACCCAACAATCCACAGAACAGCCCCCAGAGTGAGGAGTTATCTGGCCCAAAATGTCAATAGTGCCAAGAGTAAGCAACTCTGGACATAAATGAAAGATTTAAAGTGGGAAGTTCCAAGCCTCCAAGGTCAGAAAGGCTCCTTGAGAAGGCAGGCTAGAAAATCAGAGAAAAGCAAGGCTTTCCGGCCACACAAAATTGAGGATAATTATACTCGTCTGGAAGGTGCTGACAATGATAATAGTACCATACATCATTGATTCTAATATGTACATCTGTTTTACATTTTTTTTTTTTGAGATAAGTTCTTGCTCTTGTCACCCAGGCTGGTGTGCAGTCATACAAACACAGCTTACTAAAGCCTGAACCTCCCAGGCTTAAGCAATCCTCCACTTCAGCCTTTCAAGAAGCTAGAATTACAGGTGCACATCACCATGCTGGGCTGATTTTTAAATTTTTTGTAGAGACAGGGTCTTGCCACGTTACCCAGGCTGGTCTTAAACTCCTGCCTCAGCCTCCCAAAGTGCTGGGATTACAGGCACAAGCCACTGTACCTGCCTTTTTAAATTTTTAACATCTCTAAGCATCAGGATGCATCTTACAATTAATGCCATGTCATAGTTTAATTGGTAGCATTTAATTACAGTTCTTAAATTTTCTATAGACAATGCATACCCTCCTTATTGCCTGCACCCAGGTGGACCACTCCTGTCAACCTGCCTCCAATATTCCAGTGAAGCAGGTACTAGTTATTTTTCCTTTTTTACAGATGAGAAACGTATGTTCAGGAACATACCCAGGTCACCAGCAAGTACAAGTTGGAGACAGGACTGAATTCCAGCATCTGGCATCAAAGCCTGGATCCTTCCATCCCTCCTGGCTCTCTCCTTCAAGATGAGTTCAAAAGACTTTCTGACATTGGCTGGTCACAGTGGCTCACACCTGTGATCCCAGTACTTCAGGAGGCCAAGGCGGGTGGATCACCTGCAGTCAGGAGTTCGAGACCAGCCTGGCCAACATGGTGAAACCCCATCTCTACTAAAAATACAAAAATTAGCCGGGCGTGGTGGCACGTGTCTGCAGTCCCAGCTGCTCGGAGGCTGAGGCAGAAGAATCACTTGAACCGGGGAGGCAGAGGTTGTAGTGAGCCGAGATGGCACTACTGCACTCCAGCCTGGGCGACAGAGTGAAACTCCATCTCGAAAAAAAAAAAAAAAGTCTTTCTGATATTGATAAAATATTTACACAAATGAGTCTGGAAGAGTCTACATGAGAATCTTAAGACAATTGGCTTGGGGTGGTGGGATTTTTAAGTTTTCTCTTTTGTTTCTGGGTATCCTCTAAGGTTTTTTTTGTTTTGGTTTGGTTTGGTTTTTTTTTTTCAGTGAACATACAATACTAGTCCAGACCGGTGGTGGGTGCCCGCGTCAGAGCTGCCCTGGAATGAAAGGGCCCAAAAGGTGGAGTTGCAAGAACACTGCCCACCACACCATCACTCCCCTAGGTGGCGCTTCCTGTCACCACAGCATGGCCTGGTGGGATGCCCCCACGGATGCAGAAACCCGTGTGTGCACATGCCAATTAGATGAAGGAAACCAGGAGACACTGGTTTTTATGCTATTACTACTGAGTAAGCCCCAGGCTTCCAGAACCATTTCAAATAAAACCAGAGCACCTGACTTATGGAAAGCTCCCATGTCGTCTGTGAAGCCGGCAGTCTTTAATCGGTAATATCTGACTTTTCTTGACATCTTGTCTTTAGAGTTCCAGAGCCTCAAGGTGATTTTGTGGAAATTTATTTTCTTTAATAATTCCTTTGTCACATTGATATTAAAAGTCTGCTCCCACGACACCCAGGCTTTGTCACCTTCGTGCCACGGCTTCACAGTCTGTGTAAAACAACATTCAGAGATGTCAACTGGGGAAAGATGTGTGAAGGCCATGGGGAACAGAGCAAACCCCAGCCCCAGCCTGGCCCTCAGCAGCAGCGCTGCCTGACTTCAGTGCCTGGTCACTCTTCAGGCTCTGAGTTCAGGGAAAATGGGGTGGTGTGTACTGGGCCCCATCAGACTTTTGCGTTCCTCAGGAAGAATAAAATCAAAGTAATTATCTGCAAATAGCATCCTCCTCGACTGCTTCTAAGCAATGACCCAGGGTCAAACCACTGGCAGGAGTGTGTGTGTGCAGGTAGTGTGTACACAAAAACTTTTGAAACATTCCGGAAATTACTGGGTAAAATATCTAAATAAAAAATAGGCCAGGTGGGGTGGCTCACACCTGTAATCCCAGCACTTAGGGAGGCCAACGCGGGAGGATGACTTGAGGTCAGGAGTTCAAAGCCAGCCTAGCCAACATAGTGAAATCCCATCTCTACTAAAAATACAAAAACTAGCTGGGCATGGTGGCTCACACCTGTAATTCCAGCTACTCAGGTGGCTGAGGCATAAGAATCACTTGAACCAGGAGGTGGAGATGATTGCACTACTATACTCCAGCCTGGGTAACAGAGCAAGACTCCGACTCAAAAAAAAAAAAAAGTCAGTAATTGGAATGATCAGGTCAGTGCAGATTCCTACTCAGGAGGTGGGGCCTGGGATCCTCCAATTCTAGCAAACTGGAGGTAAAGCTGATGTTGCACATCCATGGAGTGGCACACTTTTCATGATAAGCATTAGACCATATGTAAGGTCACATGCACTCACACACGCACCTTTACTCCTGACTCCAGGAACACTTTGGCCACCATTGGAAATAGCAATATGTCAACTTTTTTAGGTTCTCCATCGTCCGGCAGAAGGAAATACTCGATGTGGTAAAAACGACGTAACTTTGAAACAGAACTGTCTGTTTTAGGGTGCTTCTTATATTTTTCAATCAAACTTGCATATTTCCCCTTATGACCTTGAAGATACAGATTGAAAAAGTCTCGTTTTAACCTCATGTGGAAAAGCAGATCCATCTCCCCAGTTCCATGGAGCTTGATGTTGTGAGAGGCTGCGCACTCGACATTGCCTGCCCAATTTGGGAAAGGAGGTACAGGTCCAGTGCTCCTAGCCAGCAAAGTAGCAGGACCTGGACTGCGCACCTGAGTGCAAAATTGAAGTGCGTGGTTTTCAGAGTGAGTGTCTCTGTTGGAGAGTGAGTGTTGGTTAGTAGGCCTAGGGTTAAAAAAGTGATAGAGTTAAAGTGAAATCACATGGCCAAGCCAGATGTTTTTGGGAGAGACGCCCTACTTGCCTCACCCTAGTCCCTCCTGGCCCTAAGAAGCAGGTAAAAAAAAATAATAATAATCACAGTACAATGTGATTTGTGCAATAACAGCAGCAGAAACAAGGCTGTGAAGAACAAAGGTGGAGGGGCAAACTCTGCATGGGGAGGGTGGGGTGGGCCTCCCAGGGGGTCCTTAGCAGAGTCTTAGAGGAGCAAAGCTAGCAGATATTCCAGACACAGAGAAAACAGCTTCACAAAAACGTCATAGGTGAAGCTACCCAATGTAGGGTGGACAGGGTGACAGGATGTGGAAGGTACAGATGGGCTTCTGCCAGAGTCCAGAGCCCAAGGAGCCCCCTGACCCCGCCCCTGGTTGCTTACACTCCAGCTTAAACTCCACACTCTAGGTCGGGGCTGTTCACATGATAAGAAGCTCCATAACATTTAATCCAAATATAATTCTATAAAAACATGACCCTCTTTAAAGCTGTAGCTTTTAAAGTCTAAATTTTTAACCCCAGGAGGCTGCTGCAGCATTAATTTTTCTGCTACCAAAATGGTTAGCATTTGTGCAGAGACTGGAGTCAAGCTTCTCCTGCCAGGCTCTGGTAGCATTAGACCTTTTCTGATTCAATCTCAGGTGGGCCAGCAAATGGACAAACAGAGCTTCTCATTTTCTGTAGACAGAAAGGCAAGTTATTTAGCCCTTTTAAAGGAGAAGTTGACAGTATCTGTCAAAAACTGTAAATGTATGCCTTCAATCCAGCAAATTTACTTCTTGGAATACAGACAACAGAAGTGCCCACATATATGCACAAAAATGTATGTAAAGAATGTCTATCGCAGAATTGTAACAGAAAAACATTTGAAACAACTCAAATATCCACCAATAAGGGGTAGGATAAATTAGAGACATATAGAGACGTTCAGAAACCAGCTGCCTTCATTCATTCACTCATTCGTTCACTCTTCAAGGAGTTTCTACCCTGAACATCAGCACCTACTATAAGCCTGGCCCTTGCCCGTAGGATGAGGGAGAGGGGTTGATGGCTCCTCCCTCCCTCCCTCCCTCCCCCTCCATCAGCTCCCACCTCCCACTCTTTAATAAAAGCAAAGGAAGCTGTGGGCTCTGCAAACTCAGACCTCCCCCACAATCTCTCTCATTAGACTCTCCTGCCTCAGACTCCCGGAAAATGTATTTTAAACAAGGTATTAGGTGATGCACAAACGCTTATGAGAATCCATGCCTTAACCTCTCCTTGGTTTTTTCTCCTCTGTAAAAAGCAGACCGAACATCATCTGCTTCAGGGTTATTGAGAGGATTAAGCATGTGAAGCTGATGCAGCCACAGTTGGGCCTCTCCTAAAATTGCTGTTTCTTTTCAACCTCTGTTCCTGGCTGGCACTGGTCAGCCCGCTTTGGGGTGGGGCAGGTGGAGAGACGATGTGGGGCATATGCACCCTAAATTCCTGCAGAAAGTCATACACCTCCTTTTTTCAGAGGGTGTTAGAGTTCTGCTCTAGCACCTACCCGTATTCACAGGGAAGGCCAGTGAGATGGTGAATGTGCAGGGGACTACGTGGGGCACGTCGGAGCTGAAGGTGCTGGCAGTCTCAGATGAGGACTCAGTGCTGCTGCACTGGCGGTCAGAGTCAGACTCCTGGGCCCTGGCCTTGGCCTTGAGGTGTTCCTCCACGTCACACTCACTCGTGGACTGGTAAAAGCTGGTGATGGAGGAGATGGGCTCTATGCTTGCGGGGTCCTCTTCCCACTCCCAGGCATTCAGCGACATGCTGCAGAGCGCGCCGCTGGCCGCCGGCGCTCCTGGCAGGGAGAAAGTGAGGCTGTCCCCGCCTGTATTCCAGGGCTGCTCCAGGAAGTAAGTCCGGCCTCCTGCAGGAGCACCCACCCGTCTCTTCCCCGCTTCCCCAGCTTGCTCCTTGGTGAACTCCGGGGCTCCTTCACTGCCTGCCACACAGTCGGTACTCAACCGACTTAAGAGAATGAATGGATGAAGGAACCACAGAGAAGAGTGGCTGGCAGTAAGCACGACGACGAGCAACCCCGTTTCCTTCGCCTAACCAGGAGTCAGTCGCCGGGCTTCTGGAATGCCTGCCCCAGGTGAGCAGCTCCCGGGAGCCACCAGGCGGAAGAGGGGGCGTCTACTCAGGCAGGTCTGCTGCGACTAAGCACAAGATGCGTTTGCTATTTGGGGAGAGGCAAACCAGGCCGCGGGCAGCACGTGCAGGAGCCTGGCGAGGTCGGGGAGGGCAAGCTCTGCCCCCTAGACAGAACATGAATGTGCACTGGGTGCTGGGGCATCAGCTCAGGGCCCACGGAGGCGGAACGCCGGGCAAACACCGGGGAGGGAACACGCGTCGAGGAGAGGAGGGAAGGGTCCCGGGCTGCTGCGGCCGAGTTGGGGACAGGGGTCGGGGTTCCTCTCCAGGTGCTGGCGGTACCTGCGAGCGGATGCGCTGGGTGGCAGCGGGGAGTTGGACGGCGGCGGCAACTCCCGCACCAGATCCACAGCCACCTCGGCGAAGAGACTCCAAGACTGAAAGGAGCGTCCGCGGGTGCAGGGAGGGCCGGAGGCCCAGCCACTCAGCTCCGTTTGGCGGTTGCTAGGAGATGCGAGGGCCTGCGGCCTGGGGGCGGGGCTCCGCGGGGCGGGGCTTTCCCCCTCAGCCACTGCGCGCAGTCTGTCAAATGGCTACATCCACGTTCAGAAACCAGCTGCCTTCATTCATTCAATCATTCATTCACTCTTTAAGGAGTTTCTACTCTGAACGTCAGCACCTACTATAAGCCTGGCCCTTGCCCGTACGATGGGGGAGACGGGTTGATGGTTTCTCCCTCCCCCTCCATCAGCTCCCACCTCCCATTCTTTAATGAAAGCAAAGGAAGCTGTGGGCTCTGCAAACTCAGACCTCCCCACGATCTGTCTCATTAGATTCCCTGCTTCTGTCGCTGATGTCCTTAAAATAGCATGAGAATTCTGGTTAGTGATTATGAGCGCCAACTCAGAGATGAGAAAACAAAGCTTAGAGAGGTGAAGCAATTCGCCTGAGGTCGCACAGCAAGTAGGGCGCAGCACTGTGTTGAAATCCGGACTGCCTGACTCCAAAGCCTCCGCTCATCTGCTAAACCACCCAAGCTGAGAGCCCTGGCTGCCGCTCCTAATATAGAAGACCTCAGCACAGCAAGCCGCTGGGGTGGAGGGCTGCGGTAGGCTTCATGGAGGAGGTGAGCAAAGCCAAATCTGGGGGGTGACTAGGCAGAGGCGGTGAAAGCAAGAGAAAGCATTCCAGGTAGAGGCATATGCAAAGGCCCATAGAGGTGAAAGGGCAGGGCAAGTTTCAGGAACGGATGGTGAGGCTGAGGTGAAAGGGCATGGCAAGTTTCAGAAATGGATGGTGAGGCTGCAGCAGCATGCGCGGCCCATGGTACATAGCCCCAAAGGGCAGGTAGGGCACAGGACTATGGGCAATGGGAAGCCAAGGCAGGTCTTCTGTTGAGGGAGGGTACCCCGCTCTGGCAGTCAGTTTGTTCAAGAGAATGAGAGCTGAGGCTACACACACGCTTGGCTATTAAGAAAACTTTAGCTCTGAGTTGAGCTATGACCTACTTTGTGTCAAAGAGCAAAACTGTGGCAGAGCTGGGGCTGAGACCCAAGTCCTGAGCCTCCTAGTGCATGCCTCCCCAGACTGCTCTCAGGGCATGGGACAGCCCCTTTAATACTGGGCGCTCCAATACTCCTAGGGTTCAGTTAGTCTAAAAAACAGCCTCAAGTACAGCTGTGAGGGGAGACACCAAATGGCAGTGGGCCCTGTGAGGAGGGGGTTGAAACTCTCAGCATGACAACCACAACCACCTGCCCACACCCCACCTGCAGCAGCCTGGAGACTGCTGTCTATATGCTAGGAAGTGCTCAGGAGACACACAAAGGGCTGGAAGAATACAAAGCTACTCAGATACACCAGCCCCCAAAAGGGCCCTTTAACAAGGGCAGTTCAACACCACCATCACCCTCGGACAGACATCAGGCCTCCTGCTCCCCAGGTCCTACCCACTGGCCTGAGGCTGGTTTCCCTCCAAAGGTTCTTTGATCACATCACCACCTAGGGCAGAGGCCAATCTCTCCCCAAGTTCACTAGTGAGAGGCCAGAGGTCTTGGACCAAGGACCAATGTGCCATCCTGGATGTGCATTGGAAACACCTACATGTCAAAAATACAATTCTGAGGCTTCATTAAAGACCTGTGGAAGTCACTCTCCAGAGGTGGGGCTTAAGAACCAGTGACAGATTGTATTTTCCAAAGACAGCCACCTCAAAAGATCCCCTCCCACATAATCTTCTGGCAGGCATCCTGGGGTTCACATTCCTCCCACCCAGTGGGGGCGGGGGGGGTCTAGACCCCTCCCCTGGAAACTGGGCAGACCTTTGTGACCTGCCTCAGTCAAAAGAGAGAGAGGAAATGACACTATGTGATTTCTGAGGCCAGGTCGTACAAATTCCATCTACCTCTGCCCTGTTCTTTTGAGGTATAGTATTCATGCTAGGAATCCAGCTACCATGTTGTGAGGAAGCCCAAGCAGCCATGTGAAATGGCCACATGAAGCTGTTGTGACTGATGGTTCCCAGCCAATTGCCAGCCTCAACTCCCAGACATATGAGAGTGCAAGAATTCAAATGATCCCAGCCTTTAGTCTTTGAGACACCCTGGCTGACACTAAGAAACAGAAACAAGCTGTCTCCATCATGAGAAATTGCAGATTTATAAGCAAAGTAAGTTGTTGCTCTCTTAAACCACTAAGTTCTGGGGTGATTTGTTGTGCAATAAATAATAGGAACAGGAGCCATATTTTTAAATTACCACCAAGATTGTATTACACAACCAGAATATGGAACCACTGCCCTGAGAGAGGTGGTGTCTGGGTCAAGACCTAGAGCATCACAGGATGAAGTCAGGGCAAAGGTGTGCCACCCACTACTCAGGTGTGAGAGAGTGGTATGTCTACAACCCCACCTCAGTGAAGATGGCTTCAGGGCTGGCAGATCAGAAGCAAAGGAAAGGGGTCTTCTGTTTTAATTATCTGTTACTGAGTAAAAACCATCCCCAAACTTAATGGCATCAAACAACAAACACTTGTTATTTCTCACCACTCCATGTATCAGCTGGGTAGTTCTCTGCTGGCCTCGCCTGGGCTCACTCCCTGTGCTGTGCTCAGCTGGAGGACCAACATGGCTGAAAGGTGCCAGAAGGCCTCACTTGCATGTCTGGAAGTTGCTGCTGGCTCTCCGCGGGCCCGCTGGTTCCCCTCCATCGGCTCCCCCGCCCCCAATGGTACACCAGCTTCCTTCCAGGTGGCACCTCATCTCCCTGTAGCCTGGCCTGGCTTCCTCACATGGCATTCTCAGAGCAGGGATCCCAGAGGGCACAGAAGAAGCTGCAAGGCCTCTTGGGACCTAGGCGTGGAACCAGCACCATGTCACTCTGCTACATGCCATTAACCAAAGGAAGTCATGAGGCTGGCCCCACTTCAAGGGGATGAAGACATGGACTGTACCTCTGGTAAGCAGAGGGGCAAACATCCAGGGGTGGGAGGTGTTCAAGGTCACTGAACAATCCATCCCTGCTTCCTTACTCTGCCGGGTGGGGGGTTCCCAAGCTCCCACAGGTTATGTCGAGGCCTTCCTGAAGTTATCCCAAGACTCTGGCAGCTGGAAGCATATTGGGAATCAGCTACATCCATCTTCTTCTTGCCCCTTCCCCATTTTTAACAGCTTTATTGAAGTATTTTTTATTTCACAAAATCCATCCATTTCAAGCATAGAATTCAATGATTTTCAGTAATTTTCAGTAACCAAGTGGTGTGATCACCATCATAAATTCATTTTGGAACATTTTCATCCCCCTAATAAGACTTCATGCACATTTATAATTAATCTCTGTTCCAACTCCCAGTCCTAGGCAACCAATATCTACTTTATCTCTAAAAATTTGCCTTTTCTAGACATTTCCTATAAATTGAATCAGACACTATGTGTTCTGGCTTTGTGATTGGTTTCTTTCACCTACCGTTATGTTTCTGAGGTTTATTTATGTTGAGGCATGTGTCGGTATTTCATTCCTTTTCATGACTGAATAATATTCTATTGTGTGGACAGACCACAGTTTGCCTATCCATTCATCAGTTAATGGGCATTTGGCTTGGGCATTTAGACATTTATGAACAATGTTGCAATGAACATTCCCATGCAAGTCTTTGTGTGGACGTGTTTTCATCTCTCTTGGGTCGATATCTAGGAGTGGAATAGTTGGGTCGTATGGTCATTTTGTGATTAACTTCTTGAGAAACTGCCAAACTATCTTCCACAGGGGCTGCATCATTTTATGTTCCCATCAATAACATGAAGTTTCCTGTTTCTCCAAATTCTTGACAAGATTTGTTGCCTGTTTTATTCATTACAGCTATTCTCATGGGTATGATATAGTATTTCATTGTAGTTTTCATGTGCATTTCCCTAACAATTAAGAATACTGAGATTGTTTTATATGCATGTTGGCCATTTATACAACTTCTTTGGCGAAATATCTGTTTGTATCTTTCACTCACTTTTGATTGGATTGTTTGTCTTCTTGTTACTTGTTACTTGTTCTTACAAGCCAGAACACACTTGTAAGAGTTCATTGTAAATTCTGAATATAAGTTCTTTACTGGGCATATGTTTTACAAATATTTCCTTCTAGTCTCCTGTTCATCTTATTTTCTTAATAGTATCTTTTGAAGTGTAAATGTTTTGAACTTTGATGAAAGTCCAATTCATCATTTTTTTTCTTTTTTGGACCATACATTTGGTGTTGTATCTAAGAAATCTTTGCCTAACAACAGGCCTATTTTTAATAGAAGTAAAGCTTGGTGTCTGAACACTAAAGCAAATCCACTAACCAAGACTCCTAAAAACCCAAAAGCTTTATGACACTGAAAATAATGGCCCAAGGACATTCCCAGACAATTCTGGGCTCTGGATAGAATAACACAAGTTTCCAAAAAACAGTGTGACAATATCGCGAGTTTATAAAATATGTATACTCCATGGCCCGGTAATAAATCACTCAAGATATGGCACAAACTGTTCACAGTATTGTTTTTGTGGAGAAAAGCTGAAAATTACCTCTGTAGGCATCTGTGGGGGATGACAAAGCACCTTATAGTTCATTCTGAGGGAGCACAGAGCAGCCTCTGGAGCAGTGTCTGCAAAGAAACCACAGTCAAGCTGTTTACAAAGCTCAGTTCCTGTGCAAAGAAAGATCCCAACGGCGCCCTTTCCACTGTGCTTTTCATGTCAAGTTGAATGAGCTACAATTTGCACACTGTGAAATTCAGATGTACACAGTCATGCAACCACTATACCATGAAGACAGAGTATTTCAATCACTCCAAAAAGTTCTTTCATGCCCAAATACATAGAAAAGTCTGGAAATAAATACATCAGAAATACACAGTGGTCCCCTCTTGGTGGCAGAATAGTGGATTATTTTTGCTTTTTAGCATTTTCCTGGACCTTTAAAAGACACTTTAAACAATATACTATTTGAAATGGCTCAAACAATACTGAACTGACTTCAGAAAATCATTTCTTTGCCACAGCCCTGACTCTACCCTACACAGACACATGCCCATCCCCCCAGCTCATACAAAAGAGTGCAAGGAGACCTCTGAGTTTGCTCACTTTGAACCTAAACAAAAACCTTGTGGATGCAACCAGAATTATTTCAGAGGTGCCTGGTAACACCACGGGGCAGACAGACAGGCCTGACAGAAAACCATTATCAACCCTTACTTCCCTGAGCTGTAGGGGAGCAGAGGCCGGCAAAGGCTCCCAGCAAGACATTTAAAAGCTTTCTTTTCAATATTGACTGGCCCAGGAAAGCTACTGTTCAAAGGATTCCTTTACCAGCTGCAGGGATGTGGGGGGCGGGGAGGGTGTTGCACTCTTGCCTGGGCTACCAGCCCTCAGCACTGACATGAAATAAAATCAGGTTCTTTTTGTTGTTGTTGTTGTTTTGAGATGGAGTCTCACTTTGTCACCCAGGCTGGAGTGCAATGACAGGATCTCAGTTAACTGCAACCTCCGCCTCCCGGGTTCAAATGATTCTCCTGCCTCAGCCTCCCAAGTAGCTGGGATTACAGGTGCCTGCCACCATGCCCAGCTAATTTTTTGTATTTTTAGTAGAGAAGGGGTTTCACTATGTTGGCCAGGCTGGTCTTGAACACTTGACCTCAGGCAGTCCACCCGCTTCGGCCTCCCAAAGTGCTGGGATTACAGGCGTGAGCCACCGCACGCGGCCAAGAAAAAGAAACACATGAGAACATCTTATCAAAAGGTAAATACTGCAGTGTTTCCCATCTGCAGAGAAAACCACTGAATCCACTTATGAATCCCTCCCTCTTCTTCTGTGTACTCACATACACATGTCTCAGCAGAAAATAGTATTGTTTTTTATGTTTTTGTTCTTGTTATGCAAGCATCAGTGTTGTGCATAATCAGCTTGTGCCTTGCTGTGTCTGCTCATCCTCGTTTGCTGAGTCCTAGCTGATCTGATGGACACCGTGTGTTCTCCAGTTTCTCACTCTAATAAACAATGATGCAGTGAACATCCTGTGCACAGTGGCTTTCTAAGGTAGAAGCCAAGAAGTGTATGTGATGTAAAAACTTTGTCAAATTGCCATTACTTTTATAATTAAAAACAAACCTAAAACAGTATGTCCAAAATGCTTGGGGAGAAGCCTTTAATTCCTTCCCAGCAGAGATGTACTCTGGGCAAAGCCTTCAAGAACAAGTACGAATTTGCCAAATGGACAAAGTGCTCATTCTGGGATACTGTGGCAGAGGAGACAGAATGCTATCGCTTTTCAAACGGCAAGATTTTACATTTAAACTCACAGAGTTATCCACAAGGCAAGATTCTGTCTCTGTTATAGCTAGGAACAGCTGAAGAGTCTGCCTCTTGCTCCAACGTGGCTGGATACCGTGGCTGGATAACCGTTCCCGGTGCAGGTAACAGGTGAACAATATCACAATATCACTGCACGCCTCTCGTGAAAAAGAAAGCGAACACAGTCCAGTACTCACCAGAGAAGCAGGTTTTTCTTCATCTTCCAGAAATGTGTTCTAAAACATCAGCCAATCATCAACCTGTTAACCTAACCCCAGCTCAGAGATGGAACTCGGATCCCATTGCCAAGTCAGCACCCTCAGGCACAAAGGTGGCAGGGGCGGGAGACACCACTTTCCCGAGAATCCTATCTCCACCCCCAACAGGGATCTGGACAGAGCAGTTAGCACAGATCAGCTTCTGACCAGCGGGGTGCCCCTAACCTAGACCCCTTGCCTCTCCAAGCCTGTTTCCCTCTCTTTCCCAGTTACTACTTGGGGCTTTTTGCAAGGTCTATGGTGGCACAAGAAGTGCTCGGAAACCTGGTAGCTGAATTTAAGCGGAGGGGAGACTTTTCCGCACCCACAGCTACAGGGCGGCGAGAGCAGGCTTGCCAGGCAACCCTCGAAAGGCCTTCCGGGAAGAGGGGGAAGAGTGACGCTTGGGTGTGGGGGCACATACCCAGCAACCGGACGAGGCCGCCACCCCCAAGGCCCTCCTGGGCTTCGGATCCCGCGCCAACCCCTCGCCCAGGTCTCGGGGCGAACTCTCCGCGCCAGGCGGGCGGGGCGAAGGGAGGAGGGAGTTGAGAGTGGACGGCCGGGAGGGGGAGGAAAAGCGCAGACGCCAGGAACGCCCCGGGAGTGAGGAGAGGAGAGCGCGGGAGTCACGCGGAGAAGCCAAACTCGGACGCCGACCGGGCACTGGTGGCGCTGCAGGGGTTCCGGGGGGCTCCTGGACCTCCTACCCCAGACCCCTCCAAAGCAACTGGGGTAAACCAGACGCCCTGTGAGGCCAGCGCAGCTGCTGGACACGGTCCCCGGCGCCGCTCCAACCAGATCGCGACCGCTAAGCCCCTCCTTTCAAGAAACTCTAGGGCCGCCCCTGGAAGTGGCGGGGCGAAGGGACCGGAGGAGGGACCGGGGGTGCGAGGCGCGCGGCGCAGCGATGGAGCCGGACAGCGCGGGCGCGGAGGCCGGCATGGAGAGCGCGGGAGGTGACCCGTACCGGCGACCTGCGCGGCGCACGCAGTGGCTGCTGAGCGCCCTGGCGCACCACTATGGGCTGGACCGCGGCGTGGAGAACGAGATCGTGGTGCTGGCCACCGGCCTGGACCAGTACCTGCAGGAGGTCTTCCACCACCTGGACTGCCGCGGCGCCGGCCGCCTGCCCCGCGCCGACTTCCGCGCCCTCTGCGCTGTGCTGGGGCTGCGCGCGGAGGGGGCCACCGCGGCCGGGGAGGCAGCCGGAGACGCGAACTCCAGAGCTGTGACCACCGGGGACGCGGCCGCTGAGTTGGCCACGGACGGGGACTCAGATACCGACGAAGAGGCGCGCCTGGCGCTGCGCGCCGAGCCGCCGGAGCTCACCTTCCGCCAGTTCCACGCGCGCCTCTGCGGCTACTTCGGCACCCGTGCGGGGCCCCGGCTGCCCCGCGGCGCTCTCAGCGAGCACATCGAGACGCAGATCCGCCTGCGCCGTCCGCGCCGCCGCCGCCGCCCGCCCTGCGCGCCTGGCCCTGACAGCGGTCCTGACTGCGAGCGCGTTGCGCGGCTGGAGGAGGAGAATAGCAGCTTGCGCGAGTTGGTGGAGGACCTGCGCGCTGCGCTGCAGAGCAGTGATGCACGCTGCCTAGCACTGCAGGTGCGCGCTGGCCTCGGAGGGAGGGTGGTAACGCCTGGGAGAGGGCTCTAACTAAAAGCTGGCTGGCTGCGGAGCCCGACGGGACAGAGGCAGAGGAAGGGTAGACAGAGGGCAGCCCTACACCATCCCACCCCGCCTCAGCCCACTTGCATCCTGTCCCTGTTCCTCCCCATTCCACTCCAGTCCCCAACCCTATTCTTACCATCTGTTCCACTCCTGAAAACCCCAGTCACATTCAGACAACCATACCCCACTTTTCTGCTCCACCCCCGCATCATCGCGTCTTGCCCCTTCTAACCCAGGAATTGCACTTGTCTGGGTAGTCTCACACATTCCCTTTCAACAAGCATCTTTCTCTCTCCTTCCTGCCAGGCTTCTGGGAGGTTTAGGAGACAGAAGTGTGAAGAAGGCCCTGAGCTCACCTTTAAGGATCTCCCTGCCTCCTGGAGTAGACTGACAGCTCCTTCTGTCAATCAGCAACGACTTACGGGGCTCCCTGCGGGAGAAACAGACAAGTGAGAAATAGACAGGGTGGCTCACACTATGGATCAGGCACTCATGGGCCACCAAATGCCTGTGGGAACCAGACCCGCTCTGGGCTATTGAGAAGAAACCATGGGGTGAGATGAGGACCCAGCCTTAGCATCTGGGAGCCGTCGACAAACACTTAAGCACTGTGCCAGCTGTGCGCCAAGGGCAGTGCTGGGCCGCAGGGGTCAGAGGAGGAAAGGAACAGCCCCTACCCCAGGCGACAACAGGCCAGGAAGAAAATGACGTTATATGACCCCACTTTAGCTCAGGACACTGCAGAGTGCAGGAAAGTGGCAAGGTGTGGTTTTCAGTGTTGGTGTGCATGGAAGCCAGGGTGGAGGCGGGAAAGTACTCCTCTGATGTGGAATCCCAAGTAATGTACGGGGAGCCATGGGATGCGCCTGAAAGGTCTTCCGGCATCGCTCATGCTCGGGTATTTATTGAGCACCTACTATGTGCCAGGTTTGTTTTAGGCTCTGGGAACACACCAGTAAAGACAGACAGAAACCGCCCTCAAGGAGCCTCTAGTGAGCAGGCACGGGGAGGGCTGCAAGTGCCACTGGGGGGAGTCTAGGAGATGAGGAACTGCCACCCGGCAGGCTGAACGCCGCCAACACAGGAGTAGACCGAGACGAGGTGCGAGGTTGAAGAATCATTGGTACCACAGAGGGAACAGAATACTGGCGTCGTGTTTCAGTTTCCTTCATCAGTTAAAAAAACGATGGAGGGTTGCGGGGGCGGGCGAGGAGGAATCATTAGAGCTCCCGCCTCCCTAGGGATGTGGCGAGGGTTAAAGGAGCTCGGACGCACGGGACCTAAGGGCCTGGCACCTGGAAGCAGGCGGCGCCATAAACGTGCTCACGCGCTTCTGGGTGCGGAGGAATGGGGACCGCCGTCGTGGCGGGCGTTCGTCTGGTGCATGTGGCTGGGGCACTTACCCCCTGCCCCTGCTGCCCTGTCCCCGCAGGTCGGGCTCTGGAAGAGCCAGGCGAGCACCCACGAGATGGAGCGCGGCGGACCGGAGGCTGCGGTGCGGGAACTGCGGCAGGCACAAGGCGCGCTGGCTGCGGCGGAGGCCCGCGCTGGGCGGCTGCGCCGTGGCCAGGCCGAGGTGCGGCGGCGCGCGGAGGAGGCCCGGCAGGTGGTGCTGCGCAGCCTGCACCGCGTGCGAGAGCTGGAGGCGCTGGCGCGACAGGTGCCCGGCTTGCAGCGCTGGGTGCGGCGGCTGGAAGCGGAGCTGCAACGCTACAGGTGAGCAGGGGCGCGGGCCCTGGGCCCAAGTGCCCCAATTCGGCTCCCATTTTCCCAGACTTCGGGTGTGCAAACCCCCTCCCACACGCTCTCGTGTTCCCCAGTTTCTCCATGCATTTATTCACGTGTTCTTTCATTCCTTTGTCAGTTCTCCATTTCTTAAGTCATAAGTCTATTCCATTGCTTGCTCTGCATCCATCTGCCCACCCATCCATTCATCCATCCATCTGTCCATCCACTCACCCACCCCACTCACCCATCCATCCATCCATCCATTCATTTGTCCATCCACTCACCCACCCCACCCACCTATCCATCCACTGACTCGTCCATCCACTCACCCATTCATCCATCCACCCATCCACTCACCGACCCACCATCTATCCACCTACCCATCATCCATCTATTCATCCATCCATCCACTCACCCACCCACCCATCCCCCCACCCATCCATCATCCATCCATTCCCCCACCCACCCACGCATCCATCATCCATCCTTCCCCCCACCCACCCACCCAGCCAGCCGTCCATCCATCCTCCTGTTCACCCACAAACACCCTCTATTTGTTTATCATAGATTGCAGTTGAATGTGCTTATTCTTATTTGTTCCTGGATTCGATCATAATGATAATAGCTTACAGTTACTAAGCACTTGCTGTGTGCCAGGCCTTGAGCTAAGTACTTTATGTGGCTTAACTCATTTAAGCCTCACAGCTGCCCTGTGAGGTGGGTACTGCTGTGTTTCCACTCTGTAGATGAGGAAACAGGTGTATAATGACTGCCTGTGCTAGCTCCACCAGGGCAGGAAGCTGGACTTGGGACCCAGATTCAAATCTTGGCAGGACTTTTGGCAGATGTGTGAGTGTGGGCAAGTCACCACCCCTCAAAGACCCTGCTTCCTCTTGGGTAGAATACAGATTGGGGTCCCTGCCTGCGGGAGTGGCTGTGAAGAGGCCATGGGCTCCTGCCTGGCACATGGTAGATGCTTGGTAGACAGAGCCTCTCTCCCTTTCAAATCACAAGGCACCCCTGCCTGCCGGCTGGCCTGACTACACATTTGCTGAGCATTTTCTCTGTGCCAGGGGCCATCCCAGGCATCAGGGATGTGACCATGTGACTAGGACAGACTGAATTCCCTGCCCTGAGCAGCCACCTGTGAGCAGATAAGACCTTCACAGGAACAGATGTGTGGCAGCAGGCAGGATGTGGAGGACACTCATCAGCCTGCCCCCAAAGAAGTGACACTTGAGGGTAGGATGTTACTGGGCCAGATGGAAAGAGGAGAAGAGAGAACATTCTAGAAAATGGGAACAGTACGGGCAAAGCCCTAGGGCAGAAGGGGCCTTAGCACCATTCAAAAACTAAAAGGAAGCCCGAGTGGCTGGAGGGGTAGAGCTGGAGGTAGGCCCATTTAGGGCCTGGAAGGTGGCAGCAAGGACTTCAGTTTTTCCCTTAAGAGAAAGAACATGAAACCATGGGAAAGTTTTAAGCAAGGAGGTGACAGAAGCAGATTTACATTTCAATAAAAAGTTACCCTGGCTACAGTGTGACAAAGAGATGGGCAGACAGGGAGAGCAGAAGATAGTGCGGAGTCCAGTGAGGGGCTCCTGCCATCCTGGTCCTGAGAGGAAGGTGGTCTGGCCCAGGCTGGGGGTGGGGCAGGCAGAAGGGATGGCCTTGAACCTACTGGACATCTGAGGAGCTCACAACTGGGAGATGGGAAGGCATGGGGCTAGAAGGAGGCCTCCAAAGAGGCAGACTCTGGGCCAGCCTCCTGCAGCGTGCAGTGTTTGGAGAGCCACTTCCTGTTTGCATAGCTGATGGCTAAAGAGCAGGGCTGGTTGGCTTGAGGCCCACATCCAGCCTTGGAACTTTATCCAAGAGGAGAAATAAAGGGGCTCTTCTTTGTTTATTTCTAAAGTCACAACTAGTCCTCTATAGCAGAATGCTACAAGTGACTACAAACATTGGCATAGCCCTTTACAACAGAAAAAGTGGATTCATAGCCAATGCACCATTTAGTCCCCATAAGATTGTTCAAGGTAGGCATTTTATCCCCAGTTTACACATTGTGAGAAATGAGGCACTGAGAAGTTAAGTAACATACCCAAGGCCACACAGCCACAAAGCAGAAAAGTCAAAGCACTTTTCCCCCACTGCCTGTGTGCTTTGATTCACAGTTACACGATGGCTGCTGTGCCTCCAGACCTTCTATCTGCTGATTGGGCATAAGAAGAAACCTGGAAGGGCTGGTCCTGTTAGTCAGTCTCAAACAAAACTGGGGTTCTATTTTTTGTTTGTTTGTTTTTTGAGACAGAGTCTTGCTCTGTCACCCAGGCTTTTTCGCAATGGCGCAATCTTGGCTCACTGCAATCTCTGCCTCCCAGGTTCAAAAGATTCTCCTGCCTCAGCCTCCCCATAGCTGGGATTACAGACGTATGCAACCACGCCTGGGTAATTTTTGTATTTTTAGTAGAGACGGGGTTTCACCATGTTGGCCAGGCTGGTCTCAAACTCCTGACCTCAGGTGATCTACCCGCCTCGGCCTCCCAAAGTGCTGGGATTATAGGCGTGAGCCACTGCGCCCAGCCAAAAGTGGATTCTGTTAGTAAGGAAGAAGGAGGAGCAGCTATTGCCGAGGCTTTGAAGGAAACACCTAGTGATGAGGAGATTGAGGACCAGAGAGCGAGTAACACTATGTGAAGGGCACACAGTGATTAGGCAGATGACTGTGTCACTCATTTCTCTGCCCCTCTAGAAATATGCTTTCAACCCTACCTTGCCCAGGAGGTTGACCACCTCTGCCCATTTTCTATGGTCAGAGTTTGCTGGTTTATGGACTGACCTGCCCCAAAGCTCTCACTCTGAGAAGAAGGGAAAGGAGAGGAGACAGAATAGCCATGGGCATTTATTGAGCATCAGCTGCGTACGAGGCACTTTTTCATGTGAGCTCATGGGGCCTCTGAACTAGTCTAAAAGAAAAGTGTTATTGTCAGCATTTCACAGACGAGAAAACCAAGACCAGGGAGGAAGCAGCTGTCCAGTGTGGCGCAGCAACTTAGTGGCAAGGGCAGGACTCACAGCCCAGCCTGATGGCCCCAGGCCACAAGCTCGAGTTGGGTTTGGTAATATGCACAAGTCCCCCTGGATTCTCCTACCCCGGAAACATCGGCCAGACATTTTACTGGCTGGGGAGGGTACAATTCACCTCTACTTTTGCTTTTCTCTTTCTTTCTTTTCCTTTCCCTTCCCTTCCCTTCCCTTCCCTTCCCTTCCCTTCCCTTCCCTTCCCTTCCCTTCCCTCCCCTCCCCTGCCCTCCCCTCCCCTCCCCTTTCTTCCCTTTCCCTCCCCTTCCCTCCCCTCCACTCCCCTTCCTTCCCCTTCCCTCCCCTTCCCTCCCCTCCACTCCCCTCCCCTCCCTTCCCCTCCCTTCCCTTCCTTTCTTTTTTGAGATGGAGTCTCGCCTGTCACCCAGGCTGGAGTGCAGTGGCACAATCTCAGCTCATTGCAACCTCCGCCTCCCAGGTTCAAGCCATTCTTTTGCCTCTGGCTAATTTTTGTATTTTTAATAGAAACGGGGTTTCACCATGTTGACCAGGCTGGTCTTGAACTGCTGACCTTGTGATTCGCCCACCTCGGCCCCCCAAAGTGCTGGGATTACAGGCGTGAGCCAGCGCACCCAGCCTGCTTTTGCTTTTCAAGTGCCAGAAACTCAGATGTCCCTGACTATTGCGCTGAATCAACCCCCTCCTCTGCAGCTGGCCTAGGGGGCTGCAGTCTAGAGGAATTACAGGGAGGAAAGGGCCCCATGCCCCAAACAGCAGAGCCCCATCACACCCTCTTAAGTGACATCACTCTGGAATGTCTCCAGGTGCTCTGCAGATGTGTCTTTGGGGGGGAAAACAGAGCAATGACTGAACTCCCCCTGAGAATGACAGCTTGAAGCCATTTGGTTAGAATAAATGACCCAACTCACACTTTTCCAGCATCTCCCAGTGTTCAAAGCACTTTCACAGAGACCGACTCACTCCGATCTTCTCATCTTCCCTCTGAGGTTGGTATTATGTCATATGTTTCAAATGAGGAAATAGACCCTTGGAGTTGGGAGTGGGTTTACTAAAGTCACATACCTGAACTCAGCTGAATTCAGACTGTGTTGAGTTTCCTAACTTTGAGTCAAACTCTGCCACTTTCCTAAAATGGGATCTCGATGACTCTATTGTTCATGTTAGGGCTTCTATTGAGTTCTTTTTCAGACCTGTACTTTTTTTTTCATCCTTATCAGTCCTTGTGTTGTGGGTTCTGTCTAATCCTTTATCTCTGTAGCATTCAACCATATTAATTTTACAGTCTCTTTTGGATTGCTGTAATATCTGAGCTTCCTGAGATGTTTTACACCTGCTGTCTTTGTCATGATGAGGCATTCTTGGCAGGCACTGTCATTTTGGGCTGTGAGCCCATCTTTGGCAGGGCCATGATCCTTGAGAGTCACACATAGAACCGGTTGTAGAGTTCCCTTCAGAGCAGTTCTCCATTTGCCTCCACTAGGCCCTGATTCTAGACCAGTTTTTAATTGTGATTCTTAGCTTGGAGTTGCCTAGCTACACAGGTAGTGAGAGATTGAGTCCCATACCTGGGAACAAAACCCCAAGGCCAATAGGTGGAATATTTTTCACCTTTGTTTATGGATAAGACAGCCCTTGCTGGCCCCTGGCCTCATGCAGGGAGTCTCCTTCTGTAACTCACTACGCAAGGTCTCCTGTCCCTAATCCCTCCATGGGCATTTCAGCTCCATCTCCTGCTTTCCACACAAGCTGGAGATCTCCTCTTCTTGATTTTGACTTTGGCTCTATACCCTTTTAAATAGTTCTATTTTATGCAGCATTTCAGCATATTCGTAGATGGAAGAGGGGCTTCCCATAGCACCTCAATCCACCATCTTGACCAGCAGCCTAAGAGGATGGACAGTAAATATGTAAGCAATTGGAGATATTTA